CACACTCATACACTACGGCATATTCACACATATTCATTAAATACCTTAAACACCATGGTTTTACCCCAAGACTTCACTATATTTTGCATATCAGAACAAAACTCAAGTCCACCAGCAGAACTCAAGAGTCAAACCTTTCACTGAAAACACCATCCTGTTGAATAAACTGAGCCGCGTGATCCACAGATGAGGAAACACTGACCTCTTCTCCTCGAGGTATTCATGAATAATTCCAGACGTAAGCTGATTTAGGTGAAATGTGAAGCAAACTGTGTGTGTGTGTGTGTGTGTGTGTGTGTGTGTGTGTGTGTGTGTGTGTGAACAGATTTACCTCTGAGCTGGGATCCTCTTCTAGAGCCGGCTGACTCTGAGCTGGAGGACGCTCTTTCTGGAAGACAACACACAAACACAGCTCATTCACTCAACAGTTCAGCAGAAACTTTAGAAACAGCAGCTCTTTTCCCACAAGTGGACATTGAGATGATGCTGCTGCAATGTCGCCATCTAGTGGAGGAACCTGCACTGCAACAAACACGTCAAAGACCACTGAAAAGTGTTGGGTTTATTTAGCCTGCAAAGTAACTTTTAAATTAAATTAAATTAAATTAAATTAAATTAAATTAAATTAAATTAAATTAAATTAAATTAAAAAAAATATATATATATATAATATTAATATATATTTTTATTAATAATAATTCAAATACATTATTTTATTTTATTAATATGAATTTATTAAATTAATTAAATTACAATAAATAAAATGGAATATTATTTTAATATTACAAATTTTACAATCAATCATAAAACAACATGAATTTATTTCAATTATTTAATAATAATTATTTAAATTAATTAAATTACCTTTTTGCTAAAGGATTGCTTTTAACTTTTAGGTAATGTTAACCTTTAATGTAGAAAATAAACCCTGCAAAAACCATTGTAAATGTTGGGTTTAATTATCTATAAAATAAAATAAATTGTATTAATTATTACATAAAATTAAATAAAATTAAATATAATAATAATAATTAATTCATAAATAATGATATTTTTAATATTTTAATTTTTTAAATTTAAATAATTTACTTTTTTTGCAAAAGAAATAAAAAATAAAATGATTACTCTTCATTTTAGGTAATTTCATTAGTTACTTTTACTTGCTTAAATAAATGTCACAGCCCTGTTTAAATCAATAGTTTCTGTTATACAGGTATATTTTGTAATCCTATATTCCAATTTTAAAAGGTTACATTTATCAAGATGATCGCACATGATTGAGAAACAAATGAATATGTTCATGCATGGTGTATGTTCAGAAAAGCAGAGTAATAGTGTGAATATTTATACTTTTTGTTGTTGCTATTCAGATATTTTACATAACAAAATATCCATTTTTATAAGTTTCCTTTTGGGATGAATAAAGAATCTATCAACTGAGTTTTCAGCTAAGGTATATTTGATTTTACTAACAATTAAACAGAATTGAATAAGCATTTTGTCAATGTACGACGTAAAAATGTTTAAAATATATAAAAAGTGTAAAATGTAAAGAATTTAAAGAGTTGAGATTTCTATGTATTTTTAGCATTATTGCGTGATTAAATTACTTAATGAGCAAGTAACTTCTCAGACAAAGTAATTGGAAAGTAATTTAAATATAATTTTAAATGATGTAATTAGTAATGAATGACTTTTTACCTGAACTATGGTGATTATGTATAATAACTCAGCTCTTTCATTAAGTGAGATTATTTATTGGTTTTATAAAAAGGCAAGAATAATCTGCTAACATGCACTGTTTAATAAATAATGCTTTAATCGATGAAAAACTGTGTTTCTTTCAGCTGTCAGAGACAGCTGAGGCCAAATGAAGACTCAGAATCAGCCCAGAGCGACCCAACAGCACATGAGAGATGGACAGATTCTTCATCAGGAGTGTCATCTTTCAGCCCTAGTGTTCCCCATTGTATTAAAGTAAAGTGTGCTGCACCTTGCCGGCGTCGCTGTCGGGCCGTCCGGAGTCTCTGTCGGAGGATTTCCCGCTGGTCAGGCTGTCCAGAGAGTGGCAGGAGGACAGAGCCTCAAACAGAGCTTCATACGGAGACTCCTCCACTGGAGACTGAGCTACAGCAGACACCGGCTCACTCGCCTGCTGCTGCGCTTCTCCTGCACACACAATATACACAATCTGTAAAGTCCTGCTAAATAGTTTTTTCCTTAAAACAAGTAGAATAATCTGCCAGTGGGGGAAGGAGAATAAGACTACAAGGAACAAGAGAATAAGAGACTATAAGAGAATCAGGAATTTGACATAAGACTTCATTTGTCCACATTTATTCATGCTTTTGAATTGCATTGAGACCCTGATCTATCTTCCAACAACTTTTAATAACTTCTGTGTTTCGCTGACCTTTTCTCTTGGGGCTGAGTCCGTCTTGAGGAGGAGGCACTGGTGGAGGAGGAAGACTGAAGTCTGCAGGACAGCCGCTCATGTGAGCTGCAGAAACACACAGCATCAAGATCAAGAGCTGCGGAGGAAACATCTCAGGCTCTGCATGGTTTGGTTGTTCGTCTACATGAAAGCACAGCATCAGGAAAACCAAAACCCCTGGCAGGGTGAAGATTTTCACAGACTCCTGGAATAAAGTGCTCGTGTGGACACTAGTTTTTAATGTTTGTGATTGGGTTCAATGCGATATCTCAGTGCACTGACGGTGCTGTCCATCCACAACTATAGATTGTTCTTGGGAAAACAAGAATTCTTGTATTCAACTTGTAAATATATCTATATTGATGTATTATTTGTAATACAATTTTGTCCTTTAACACAAGCAGTCAACTGGAGCTTTCAATGAAAGCACTCTTTCTGAATGCCTCAAACAAAACTCCAGAAGCTGCACAGATGACAGCATGAGCATTTACAGCACATACACTAGAGCAAATACTCATCCTGCTTGCTTTTGTGCGCTGCCAAGCGAAATCACAGTAAAAATGACACATTTTACCTTTTCTCAAGAAGAAAAACCACCAAAAACCAAAACTGCAGGATTATCTGCTGTCAAGAATGGGTTAAGAAATGGCTCAAAAACTTTTTCTGATGATGGATTAAAAAAGCGAGTTAAAATATTTTAAAACTATGGGTTACATATGGGTTAATTTATTTAATCATGGGTTAAAATTGGGTTAAAACCTTTTTATATTTCTGGGTTAAAATGAGCTACAATGGGTTATGTATATACTTTTTTAATCGCAGGTTTAAAAATTGGCTAATGTATTTTTTAAATTATGGGTTTAAAAAATTAATTATGAGTTTAAAGACTGCTTATTTGTTTCTTGTTTTGGGTTAATTATGGGTTAAAAATAATGATGGGTCACAAAAAGTTAATTAAACATTTTTTTTAAATTACTGGTTATAATTTTGGTATTTATTTTAATTACGGGTTATAAATGGGCTAAATCGGGTTACTTTTCATATTATAGGTTTAAAAATTGGTAAAAATAGGTTTAAAATTTTTTTTAATAATGGGTTATTTTTTTATTTATGGGTTAAAAATGGGTTAAATTTTTTTAATTATAGGTTTAAATATTAGTTAATTGCTTTTTGTTTAAGGGTTATTTTTAACTATGGGTTAAATGGGTTAAATTTTTTTATGGGTTAAATGGGTTATTTTTTGTTATGGGTTAAATATGGGTTAAGAAACAACTATGGGTTACAAAAAAAGGTTTAAAAACATTTTTTTTAATTATAGGTTAAAATTTTTAGTTTTTTAATTACGTGTTTTAAATGGGCTAAAGTGGGTTACTTTTTATATTATAGATTTGAAAATTGGTTAATTGTTTTTTTAATTATGGCTAGTTTTTTAATTATGGGTTAAGATGGGTTATTTTTTGTTTTGGGTTAAATATGGGTTAAAATAATTATGGGTTACAAAAAAGGAATAAAAACATATTTTAATTATGGGTTAAATCTGTTTTTTTTAATTATGGGCTAAATGGGTTAAAAACTTTTTAAATTAAGAGTTAAAAATTAGTAAATAATAAAATAAAATAATTAATTATGGTTTAAAAAGAGTGAGCTGTTTCCGTGTGTTTTCACACACATTAGAGTCTTCAGCCAAGGCTGATATGTGGTTCATTCAACACAGATAATGGAAGATCACCACGATTCCACACAAACCCCAGAAGCAGAAACACCGCACTGAAGACCACCAAAAACCAAGAATGTAGGATTATCTGCTGCCATGGCTTTGCGATCAAAAAAAAATCTTTATAATGAAAATCAATAGGGCAAGAACAGCCCCAACATCACCAAAAAATGGACAGCGGGCAGAGCCGTGTATAATAAATATAACGTGTAGCATATCTACAACCTTGTATGAGTCCAGCGATCTGTCGACTCTTCTGCGAGGGCATGTCTCTAACAGTGTCCAGCGCTGTCAGATTCTTACAGTCCACGATATTCACATCGATACCTGAGGAACAGACACACACTGCATCATGGGTACAATCACAGCATGCAAAACACTCCCAATCTGCTTTTATTCAGCTCTCTTTACCTGCTTTGAGCAGTTTTTGCACCACTTCTGTCTTTCCGAACAGAGCTGCTTCATGAAGGGCACTGCCTTTCTCTGTCTGTGGACAAACAATGACATTTATTTACTTCAGGACATACACAAACACAACAGAACATCAGAAAAATGTAAAAACATTACAATCTAGTTGTCTTTTTTTACCAGTTTAACAGTTCAGTCATCAACTGTTTATTTCTGCTAAATAATTTCCCACAGTGATATATACAGTAGCTGTTGTCAAACCATTAATCACTTAATATTTACATACATATATTAGGTTTGTGTACGCATGTATATACTCAAAAACATTTTAATTATGTTGTTACAGTGTTATTAATCTGTTAATTTACATTACTTAAATATATACTGATAAAAAAATAAATATATATATATATATATATAATTGATAAATTATATTGGAGTAAAGAATGTTTTGGAAACAACTAATAGTTAAGGTCGTGTTAAGGCTGTGTTAAATAAATAAATGAATAAATAATTAAATAAATAAATAAATAATTGAATAAATAAATAAGTAAATAATTAAATAAGTAAATAAATAAGTAAATAAGCAAATAAGTAAATAAATAAGTAAATAAATAACTAAAGAAGTAACTAAATAGGTAAATAAGTAAATAAAAAAATAAGCAACTAAATAGGTAAATAAGTAAAAAAAATAACTAAACAAGTTACTAAATAGGTAAATAAGTAAATAAATAAATAAGCAAAAAAAAAATGGGTAAAAAATGGTAAATAAGTAAATAGATAAATAAGTAAATAAATAAGCAACTAAATAGGTAAATAAGTAAATAAGTAAATAAATAGATAAATACGTAAATAAATAAATAAGCAAAAATAAATAAATAGGTAAAAAATGGTAAATAAGTAAATAAATAAATAAATAGTTAAATAAATAACTAAAGTAATTAAATGGGTAAATAAATAAAGTAAATAAATACGTAAATAAGTAATTAAATAAGTGAATAAGTAATTAAGTAATTAAATAAGTAAATAAAAAGGTAAGTAAATAAATAAATAAGTAAATAAGTGATTAAATATGTAAATAAATAAAGTAAATAAATAAATAGGTAAATAAATAAAGTAAATAAGTAAATAAGTAAATAAATAAAGTAAATAAGTAAATAAGTAAATAAATAAATAAATAAGTAAATAAGTAAATAAATAAATAGGTAAGTAAATAAGTAATTAAATAAGTGAATAAGTAAATAAAAAAGCAATTAAGTAAATAAAAAGGTAGGTACATAAATAAGTAAATAAATAAGTAAATAATTGGGTAAATATGTAAATAAATAAATAAATAAAGTAAATAAAAAATAAATACATAAATAAATAAATGTTCACTCAAGCACACTGACCCCAACACTTTACAGACCCTTATAGAAGAGCACATTACAGTAGTGAAGGTTGCCAGGTCTTGCACAGTGATTCAGGTCAGTAAAAGGCACTAATGGAGATCACTGTGGCGTATCTGAACCCAGTGGACACTGCAGAGAGAGCAGACTAGCTCATTTCACACTGCAGCAGGTTTATCAGCAGGTTAGCAGATTCTGACTGAGACTGATGCTGTAAGAGCAGGTGTTTCTCAGGTAGGTGCTAAAGAGCATTTAATTCCGTGAGAGACGCTGAGATACAAGCACCTGTTCTGACTACTAAAGCTCATGTGAAATTAAAATCAAAAATGTTAGCTTAGAGTTTATCACTTCTGCCTAGTGACCTGGTAGTTGATGTCCACTCCGGCCGCCAGCAGCACCTCCACCACAGGCAGGTGTCCGTTGCGGGCCGCCAGATGCAGCGGTGTGTGTTTTCTGGTGTTGGAGCTGAGCAGGTTCGGGTGAGCGCTCAGCAGGAGTTTGACCACCTCCAGCCGGCCGTACAGCGCCGCCAGATCCAGCGGCGTCTCGAACTTATTGTTCCTCATGGTGGGGTCGGTCAGCTCCTCCAGCAGCAGATGCACCACCGCTGTGTGTCCGTACTGAGACGCACAGTGCAGCGCCGTCTCGTTATCATTATTCTGAACAGAGAGAGAGAGAGAGAAGAGAAATCACGAGGAGGACATTATTAGCTGTTTTGGTGCAGAATCTTATTAAAAAACATAATAATAATAATAATAATAATACTGTTATAATATAATATTACTGTAATAACAATATACTGATATAATATGAAGTAAATAAAATAATAAATAAAATGAATTATAATATTTAAAAGACAGAATCTGCAGATTTTTCTTTACTATTACTGTGCAGAATTTTTTGAAAACACAAATAAACAAATAATAAATAAATAAAAGAATAAATATAATCAATTATAATATATAAAAGAGAGAAT